GAGGCTCACACAGATGATTTTTTGCAGTGTTGGCTGCCCAAATGTTGCTGGCAGCTTGCTTACTGCGAGTTGCTCGTCTCTGTTCTTTGATCACAATGTACATGCCAGGTGATAAACTGATTTAAGAGGCCATATTGCATGACAGTTTCCACTAGATGTCTTCAGATTAAAAAAAAAAAAAAAAGAATACATCACACACCACCTCTTACCCTCCAAGAAAAAACACTCAGCTAGGTCCAAAAGAGCCAAACAGATGCAAAGTTGACCATGAAGGACCCAGCCATAAAAAGCATAAGATGAGAGATACTGATGGACCTCAAGCTGGAAATCCCAGTTAAAGGCTGTATCACACTCACTGACAGTATGCCATCAATTTCACTGTCCATTTGGCACAGCCAAGAAACTTCATGTTCTGTAAACCAAGTAATTTAAGAAGTGGGGTAGAAGTAGGCACCAATCAAACCAACCTGACACAGTAGGCACAGTGTGGAGGGGAGTCTGGCCTGTGAGGTCCTGAAGGTCATATAAAGCAAAGAAATTGGTTCCCTTTGGCTGTGTAAAGGTCTGTGAGGCACCGACTCTGGGTCTCAAAGATCCTGCTTAGGTTCACTCAGAACCACTGCCTTCAGAGGGGTCACGGATGCTGCGAGGTACCAGTAGGGGTATTTAGGGAAGAGCAGCATTGTGATGTGAATGGTGGCTGGACCCTCCCCTGTTACAGTGAGCTCATGGGCACTCTGTTTCCCCTTCCCTGGGATCCTGTGACTCTGATCAAGATAACCCTGGACCCTCCTTCCTGCCCCAATGGGGTTGGGGGAGAGCCAGGGAAGCCCACCCTGTCCAAAGTCTGTATAGACCCCTGACATTTCCTGTTCGTCCTCTTTTGCCCTGCTCTCCACATGGACATCACAGAATAAAGAGAGCTGAACCAACATATATTGGGGTAAGAGCCTCTTTTGGGAATCTTTGCCATCTCCTGATATTCCTTCCCTCCCAGCCTCGGACCTCTGAGCTGGCCTAGGATATTTAGGGTACTGTGTGAGGTGGGGGAACATCACTCCCCTGCCTTGCCTTCACCCAAACCTGCATTTTCCAGCTGGACCTCCTGTGAACAGGACCCCTTCTCCCTGGTTTTGCTGCTTCCCTTACTGACAGAGGCCATAAGAGCATTCAGCTCACACAGATGAAACCTAAATTCAGAAGAGCACAGTCTGTCAGACCGAATAAAACTGGAGGCTGTCTCAGTGCATAAGTGCAGCTGTACCTTTGCCCAATTTACAGTACATTTTGAAATGTACTTAAATAACAGTCTTTTTCACTGCAGTCAGTTATAATGGTCATTAGAGTGCTCTGCATCAGCTTGATGCGCTCATGAGCCCGAATAGCAGCAATTTATTACCCACGGGGCCATGCAGCTTCAATCTCCAGTGGCACAATGAGTTTTCTTTCATTACTATAGAGACATTTCGGTGCGTTCATTCACCTTCCCTGAAGACAGCCAGAGTGCCCCAGTGAGAATTAAGTACACAAATTTTCCACACTCTCTGATACACCTACCAGTTTTTTCCGCTGCTATTTCGTAGGATTTAGAAACCATTTTCTGAAAAAAAAAAAAAAATTCCTGAAACCTGACAGTTTTGTCAAGGGCTGACTCGCTCCTTCTCTACACCTTCCTGCCCCCAAGAAGCCGAGTAACCCAGTTCTGTCTTTCCTCATGGAAACAAACCCAAGAAGGATACTCTGGAAAGCAAACATCTCTTTTATTCCCTGAGTGAGATAAGGGTCACCAATGCAGCAGAGCAGCTTCTTACCCAAGAGATACATGTCTTTTGACATTGTTGATGACTCAGGGCTCCTGAAAAGCAATGCTAAATGGTCTCTGCAGTCTCATAGGCAATACCAGCATACCAAGTGCTGGTATGACATGCTTTTCTGAGTCATCCACTTTTTTTTTTTTGAAAACTCTGCCTTCATTTGAACTATTTATTTAAGACACATTCTGACTGTAGGCAATATATAAATGGATTTATTTTTCTTTAGTCAGGCTGTTCCATAATCAAAATCATAGTCCTCCATTTTTAAGCTTTTCAAGCAAAATACAGAGTACATGAGGCTCACCAGTAGTATTGCAAAAAGATCCATAGATCCTTCCAACAAATCAGTGAATACCTGAGTGACTTACAAAAAGGGAAAATAGTTTTAAGACCATTGCAACTCACTGAAGTTTTATTCTTTAGGACTGCGAGTTGACTGAATAATGAGTCAGTCATAAAGTTTGTGGCCTGTGCTAAAATCAGACAGGGATGAGTTGCCTGCTCTAATGTGCTCATTAGGGACAGAGTAAGTACATCCTGGTATGCTTGAATAGAACAATTATTTTCTGCAGCAATTGAAATGAATTATCAAATGCCAAGTGAAAGGCTCTGTTCTGAGTCATCATTCATCAGGAAAGATTTGTTCACAGCACTATAAAAGCTTGCAGGATCAAACGTTTATATAGACTGCATTATTTGTGCCAGCAATCAACACCTGCAGCTCTTTCACACACCTAAATGAAGTTTGCTTTCATCTTTGCTGCCAGCACTCACAATATACTTCAAATTATTGTTATCAAGATGTAAGTACGGTACTGTTGTATTCACTGGTATTTGCTTCACCTTTTTTGAATTTTCCGAAGTGGTAAAGTTATGAAAAAACATTGGACTTGGCAGCATGGACCCGCTGGGAACCTCAGCCAATGCACCCTCAGGAGCCCAGACAGGAGCCCACGTCCAAGACACCACCCACAGCCAACTGCAGACCTGTTTGTGGTAGGCTAGGAAATCCCAAGGAAATAAAAACCATCTAATTCTATTCAAAGGTTCAAGTGGCCTTGCCCAGCCCTTAAAGGTTGCAGGGCAAGCTGTAGGATGTGTGGTGTTGGAAAACAAAATTAAACTTACCCTACTAGAGGGCCCTTATTTCCAAAAAACAAAAAGAAACAGCAAAAGCAGGCTAAAAATGAATCATATCAAATTTACCATAGTTCTTCTGGATTCCTTCTTATTTAGCTGAAGACAACGTTGATATTACTGCTGAACTTATAAGCTTTATTAAGTAAATTACATTAAAAGATAAGAAGCTATGGAAAGTAAAATTAAAAAGCATGGGGGGGGTTACATTATACTAATAGAATTAAATCCTGGGAATTAACATGCACAGTTTAAAATTTTATCAAGTACAAACCATCAGACTTGTTAATTCATTTCTTCTAGGCACAGAATTGCAATTAAACCAAAATTATCTCCTTGGTACACAGTGGATGAACTACCAGAACTAAAATGTTGGATCAGTTTGCACCATTTTTTGCACGTGAGGCAGACACAGGTTTGCACAGCTTTGACTGAGACACTGTTCAATACTAAATAAACTATATATTAAAAGCACGTACACATGTTACAGTTCTGCTAGGAATGCTTTCAAGTCACATCCCCAATGGTTACCTGCTTCAGGCAAGAGCAGGCAGGCACCCCAGAGCCTCCTTGTCAACCTGGGCCACACCTCAAGTGGCCTCTCACTTGGTTTTAGCACCATGTGGTCATCCCATGAGCCTCAATCCTCTGCTGTGAATCTGCTGCAACACTTTGCCTCCAGGTCTTGCACTGCCCTGAGGGCCCTCTCGCTGTCTCAGGCTGTTCTTGGATTTTCCACCTTAACGTGGCCACTTTTTTCATGCTTTGCCTTACACTGCCTTGAATGCTGATTTGCTGGCTGGTTCTCTCTCGCTTTTGTGGGGTGCTTTTACAGATTCCAGAACTTTCTTTTGGAATTAAAGACTCAATATCTGAGCACTGCTCTTTTTTGCTACAAATCTTCATTTAGGAAACAGTTTTGAGGTAAAGCTTTGTTCCCACAGCTGTGGGCTCCTCACTTAGCACTTAGGATGATGGCATGCTCTACCTAAGGGGCTCTCTCAGCTCTGCTCTAACAGGATGAAATGAGGGAGAGCAGAAGCAGGTAAGGAAAAGAAAAGAATCAGGTTTCCCCCCTTGTTTTGTAAAGATTTTCCTGATTCCCTGTCATTCGTTCTACTAAAAACTAGTTCTCAGCAGAGAACTCCGAATCTTTCAAAATATCTTGGAATTTAAAGATGACAATAATTACATAATTAAAGACGAAAATAATTACATAAAAATGTTTGAGGTGAGAAGGCAGTTTCAGAAATTTTAGAGAGAAAATGAAGGGGAGTTAAGGTGGTAAGGGGCTAGAGAAGCACTTTCCCCCAAAAACCTTTCCTGTCCTGCCTCCTCTGGTTGCTGTTCGTGGGAATGGGAATTACGTGGCTTAAAATGGTCGTGGTCCTGATATAGAACCACATGCTATGGCTGAAAAACTAAAGCTTCTGGGTGGCTGAAACCTCCACAGCCGCGGAGCCCGGGCCCGGCACTTGGAGATGGAAGCGGCCCCGCAGCTGGAGGCGGTGGGACAGCCGCGCTGCGAGCCGAGCCGAGCCGGGGCCGGGGCAGGGAGAGGGGAGCCGGGAGAGGGGAACCGGGAACCGGAGCCGGGAGCCGGGGCCAGGAGCCGGGAGAGGGGAGAGAGGAGCCGGGAACCGGGAGAGGGAAGTCGGGGCCGGGAGAGGAGAAAGGGGAGCCGGGAATCGGAGCCGGGAGCCAGAGCCGGGAAGAGGGGAGCAGGAGCCGGGGCCGGGAGAGGGGAAAGGGGAGCCGGGAGCCGGGGCCGAGAGAGGGGAGCAGGAATCGGAGCCGGGAGAGGGGAAAGGGGATCAGGAGCAGGAGCCGGAGCAGGAGCCAGAGCCGGGAGAGGGGAAAGGGGAGCGGGAGCCGGAGCCAGGAGAGGGGAGAGGGGAGCAGAAGCCGGAGCGGAGCAGGAGCCGGGAGAGGGGAAAGGGGAGAGGAGCAGGAGCCGGAGACGGGAAAGGGGAAAGGGAAGCCGGAGCCGGGAGAGGGGAGAGGGGAGAGGGGAGAGGGGAGAGGAGCCGGGAGAGGGGAGAGGGGAGCAGGAGCAGGAGCCGGAGCAGGAGCAGGAGCAGGAGCAGGAGCAGGAGCAGGGAGAGGGAAGAGGGGAGCAGGAGCAGGAGGAGCAGGAGGAGGAGGAGCAGGAGCAGGAGCCGGGAGAGGGGAGAGGGGAGAGAGGAGCAGGAGCAGGAGCCGGGAGAGGGAAGAGGGGAGCAGGAGCAGGAGCCGGAGCAGCAGTCGGAGCAGCAGTCGGAGCAGGAGCCGGGAGAGGGGAAAAGGGAGCAGGAGCCGGAGCAGGAGCCGGAGCAGGAGCAGCAGTCGGAGCAGCAGTTGGAGCAGCAGTCGGAGCAGGAGCCGGAGCCGGGAGAGGGGAAAAGGGAGCAGGAGCCGGAGCAGGAGCCGGGAGAGGGGAAAAGGGAGCAGCAGCCGGAGCAGGAGCCGGGAGAGGGGAAAAGGGAGCAGCAGCCGGAGCAGGAGCCGGAGCCGGAGCCGGAGCAGCAGCCGGAGCAGCAGCCGGAGCCGGAGCCGGGAGAGGGGAAAAGGGAGCAGCAGCCGGAGCAGGAGCCGAAGCCGGAGCAGCAGCCGGAGCAGGAGCCGGGAGAGGGGAAAAGGGAGCAGCAGCCGGAGCAGGAGCCGGAGCCGGATCCGGAGCAGCAGCCGGAGCCGGCGCCGTGCGCGGGCGGACGCTGCCACCGTGCGGGCGCGGCAGGGACGGCGGGGCCGCGGGCACCGCGCTGCGGGCGGGGCCGGCGCTCGGAGCTCGCCCTCGGAGCTGCCAGGGCCAGGCGGCCTCTGCTGGAGGGTTACGCGGCGGCTCTCAGGTGGATTTCAGGGAACAAGGTGGGAGTCCCTGCTGAGGGCATTCCTGAGAGGAAAAAGAGCTAAGCGCGCATCCGACACAGTGGGATGTCGCTGTTGAATCGCAGAATGGTTTGGGTTGAAAGGGATAGTAAAGGTGATGTAGTTCTAACCCCCTGCCATGGGCAGGAACACCTACCACTAGACCAAGTTGTTTATAGTCCCCTCCAGCGCATCCTTGAACACTTCCAAGGATGGCATAACCACAACCTTTCTGGGCAACCTTTTCCAGTGTTTCACCACCCTCACAGTGAAGAATTTCTTCCTAATATCTAATCTAAACCTATTCTCTTTCTATTTGAAGCCACGTCACTTGTTCTATCACTGCATGCCCTTCTCCAGCTGCCTCATAACCTCCATTCAGGTCCTAGAAGGCTGCCCAGCTGCTCTCTTTCTCCATGTGCAAAGGAAATGCTGTGATGCCACTTTAATAAAAATCAAACAGAAAAACCAAATCTGTTCACCTCCTTATCTATCCCTAAACCCGGGCTCCAACTCCAGCTGCCTGTACACAGGGACAGGATCATGGACAGCTGAGATTAGAGGGTGCCCATGGCCACGTGGAATTCCCAGCACACTCCTAATGCCCAAAAATGTTATGCCTACCCCTGCAATGTCTAGTCTCCATAGCAGGAGATCTTCTTGGGATCTTCTCCTCTTAGGAAAACTTGAGATAAGCACTCAACGCATTTCCTGTTTCAG